GGGAGGATCACAGAGGGAGGAATCACAGAGGGAGGATCACAGAGGGAAGAATCACAGAGGAAGGCTCTGTAAAGAACAGATTGGGATTGGGGAGACAGAAAATACAGAAGTAAAAGGAATACCATGGTGGTTGCTGGTTCGAATATGTGGAAAACAAGCAGGAAGAGGGCAGGGCGGTGGGATGTGGGAAAGAGCTGCAAATTTAAATGAGAGAGTCGTGGAATTTTCCTGAGAGTTTCCCTGAGTAAAGACCTGGAAGATGGTGATGGAGGCAGCCATGCAAGCAGTGGAGACGCAAAGTCAAGGTTCGGCTGTCTATGACCGCTGGGCACCTGGGCTGGAGTGCAGGCAACATGTTAAAGGGGCCACGGGGAGGCACCTTGGAGGGAGCAGCAGGGAGAGAGGGAGAAAGAGAGAACCAAGTTCCCAGGCTCAACCGACAGCCAGCAGCAACTCTCAGGCCTGGGGAGGGCACTGTGGACTTTCCGGTCCACTGCAGCTCCATGCATGAATGCAGGAGATCCCATCAGCAGAGCCGTGAGAAATTATAACCTGCTTTGATTTGTTTTGTAGGGCTGGCTGGCAACTGAACCTGGGTTCCTGCCCATGCCAGGTGAAAGTGGCAGGTGCTGGGTCCAACTCTTTCAAACCCCAAGCGGCTGCTGCTATTTTAAACAAATGAATTTTGGGTTGTGTTATGTGGCAATATGTGATTCCAACAGATTGATTTTAAGGGATCCCTTTGACTGTGGCCCGGCTAACAAGCTGATAGTGAAGATGAAGGCAGACCTGACGCACACTGCAAATGGGGAGCCCTTCTCTAGCACCTGAAAGCCTTGACCGGGTCTGGCAGTCCCGGTCAAGAGTGAGAAAGTGGCCAGATCTGCTGGAAAGCAAAACCCCATAGGACTGGAGATGGGATGGAGAACTAGGCTGTTACGTGGGATGGAAAAGCTCTCAGATGAACGGACTGCGGATGGGGCATGATTGTTTATCAGATATCCAAGATGTAAAGAATAAATCAGTACTAGTGATTAAGAAATGGGAGCTGGGCAATGGTGGCGCACGCCTTTAATCCCAGCACTCAGGAGGCAAAGGCAGGCGGATCTCTGTGAGTTCGAGGCCACCCTGGCCTACAAGAGCTAGTTCCAGGACAGGCTCCAAAACTACAGAGAAACCCTGTCTTACCCCCACCCAAATTAAATAAATAGATGAATGAATGAATGAATAAATAAATAAATAAATAAATAAAAAGGTGGGTTGGGGATACGGCTCAGTGTAGAGGACTAGCCTTTCAGTGCGTGGCCCTAGGTTTTGTCCCAGCACTGTGAGAAATACATACAGGAAATTTTAAAAGTCAGGGCTGGAGAGATGGCCCAGCGATTAAGAGCACTGGCTGCTCTTCCAGAGGACCCAGGTTCAGTTCCCAGCTCAGCACCACATGGGACCTCACAACTGTCTGTGACTCCTGTTCCAGGGGAAATCAGACACCCTCACACACACACACGCAGGCAAAATACCAATGTGCATAAAATAAAAAATAAATCTTAATAAGATTAAAGTCATTAGCATACTCAAAATAGGAGGCTGGGGGAGATCAGTCACACGGTAGGTAGGCGGGTCAGTGCACACAGGGTAGGTAGGCGGGTCAGTGCACACAGGGTAGGTAGGCGGGTCGGTACACACACGGTAGGTAGGTGGGTCGCTGCACACAGTAGCCAGGTCAAATAAAGCCTGGACATTACTGCATTTACCACAGAACCCACAAATGACCTTCACAAGACAAGTTTTGGTTGAATGCAAAGCTGTGGTTTAGGGCAGGTTCAAGAAAAATGGAAGGAGGAACTGGAGGCAGACTATAAAATGTGTGTGTCCTGCCAAAGGCCAAAGTCTTATGTGTAAGTACTCTTTGTCTTACTGTTTCTGATCTTACAGTCAGCTAGACTGGCTAGCAAGCCCCAGGGATCCCATCTCCACTCCCAGCACCAGAACGATGGGCCTGTTTTACTCTGTATCTGGCTTTTTCTGTCAGTGCTGGGGTCTGAGCTTGGGTACTCAGGCACAGTGACAGAGCCATCCCCACTCTCATCCCATAACTAAACATTTTTTCCTTTTTGACAGCATTTAGCATTATAGCCGTGGCTGGTGCAAACTCAGAGATCTGCCTGTCTGTCTCCCAAGAGCTGGGTTTAAAGGCCTAGCTCGAAGCAAACCCTACAGAGTTCTTCTGTACAGGTGAATACAGAAGTGGAGCAGCGGCTGGAGCCTGAGGGAGCTGCCAGCCAGGGCTCTGTGCGCACTCAGGAATGACTCACAGAGCAAACAGTTCCCAGTGCACAGCTGACAGGTGTCTAGAGCCATGTCCTCGAAGAGATGGGATCTATGCAGTGACAGGGGACTGGCTGCACACAGCTAATCCCTGTCAACAGAAAGCAGAGAACATGGTACAGGAAACGGGAGATGGTGGAGGGGGACATCTCAGCAGGAAATGGGAGATGGTGGAGGGGGGGCCTCAGCAGGAAACGGGAGATGGTGGAGGGGGACATCTCAGCAGGAAACGGGGAGATGGTGGAGGGGGACATCTCAGCAGGAAACGGGAGATGGTGGAGGGGGGGGCCTCAGCCTCAGCAGGAAACGGGGAGATGGTGGAGATTCCTTTCTAGGGACTTTGATTTGCTCAAGGTTGTCCTTACGAGTGAGGATGGGAAGCGCTGAAGGAGATTCAGAGGTTCACATGAGGTTTATACACTGGTGGTTTGACCTTAGGTGCCCTGCTGACCTTAGTTGCTTTTGAATCGATATTGCAAACCAGGGCAGGTCCATAGCCTCCTCTGAGTGCTGGTATTACACGCATGCGCCATCACACAACTGACTAGTTACGACTTTTACAAGGAAAACAGACAACAACAACAAAGTAATCTAATCCAGAAAGCCTGGCACCTAAAGAAGGCAGCCGGGCTGTGGGTGTCTCGGTGCTAGAGTGGGTTCTGCACACGTAGGCCCCAACTTGGATCCCCAGTTCCTGTCAGGTTTTCCAAAGAAAGAAATTTGCTACTCTCTGTCTCCCCTCGGAGTAGGCAGGTGCGGGGCAGAGCGCCTGGCAGTGGGCCAAGAGCCTAAGGCTCCGCCCAGATCTGCTCCCACACCTTTCTTTTTGTTGACCCAGATACTAGCTGATTTCTTTGTGTCTCTGTCTTATCAGGAGGTTTCAGATCTGCTGCCACCTGAAGTCGCCAACCTGCTTATTTGCTCTAGGCCTGCCCAGACAGGGGCCACTCCGTACCGTCCTCCTTCCCACGGGAACCCCCTCTGGAGTTCTGTCCCTCTCTCCTGCCTCTCCTGTGCCCGGATCGCCGGCCGCTGGGTGAGGGAGACCTGGATGGAAAGGTCACAACTTGCGGGTAGCTCCAGCCTGGCACGGTCTTCTTGCTTCTGTTCCGATCAGCTGCACCATGGGAAATGTTCTTTTTCTTTCTTTTAAACTGGGAAAGCACTGAAAATTTCTTAACTTTCTCAAAATCAGTTTTTGCTTTGATAAAATAAGAATAAAACTTGCTTGGTGTGTTGAGAACTAAGTTCAGTGAAAAGTTGTAAGTGCCTAATATATGGTGGGGGCCACTGGGTAGTAAGGGTTGGGCTTCCCCTGGTGGGGTGGGCGAAGTTCCCAAGGCAGGGCTCTGATCTGTCCTACTTGTAACAGGGCAGGCTGACACGTGGTCCAGCACCTTGGTCCACAGTGGCCTCAGGCTTATGGAAATGTCTTTTAATGATTGCATTTTAATGATTTTTCCTTCAAAATCAAGAAAATGAGCTTTTTAATAGTATTAAGATTGTCGTATCAGCCAATTAATTATTCATTACAGTATTTTCATTCACAAGAACTCATTATAAACATCATTATATTTGGGGGGTATTGAGACAGGGTTTCTCTGTGTAACAGTCCTAGCTGTCCTGGAACTCAATCCGTAGACCAGGCTGGCTTTGAACTCACAGAGAATCTCTTGCCTCTGTCTCCTGAGTGCTGGGATTAAAGGCAAACATCATATTAATGCTACCATAGTCTTAACCTGGAAAGGTTGAAAAACACACATTTTAAACTTTTGTTTTTAGACAGGAAAGAGCCCACCGGGACATAGGGAGTCTCATGGTGTGGTGCAGAGTGGCCCAGCATTACTGAAGGATTTCTTAGGGACTCCTGGCTGAGGAGGACGGATGTGAAGATGGAGTACCCGGGAGCTGGACCCTTGCATGGCACCCTGCAGGGAATCCTGCCGATCTCTAGTCTTCTCTCCACTCCTTGGATGCAGGATCACTCACATCTGGTGTGCAGGAAACTGCACATCCTAAAATTCTACCCCGCTCACAACACTTGTACCAAGAACATAAACACACAACTCAACAACACAACTCAATTTTTAAAATGGGCCAGGAGGCAGCAAGATGGCTCAGCAGGTGGGGACACTTGCCGCTAAGCCTGACAGCCTGAGTCCCTGAAAGCCACATGGCGGAAAGTTGTCCTCTGACCTCCACATGTATGTTACAGTATGTGTGAGCACAAGAGCACACATGTGCACAACATGAATAAATAAATACTTAAGAAATGAGCATAGACACTTCTCCAGAGACACCCAGGTGACCAAGACCATGTAAACGTGTTTGGACATCACAGTGATTAGGGAAACAATCAGAGTCACAATGAGATACCGCGTCTCACACACACTGAGACAGCTAGCATCACACTCACCCCAAATAACAAGTGCTGGAGAAGATATGGGGAAACCAGAACCTTCGTGCACTGCTTGTGGGGATATAAATAACACAGCTATTACAAAAAATTGTATGGTAGTTCTTTTAAAATAACATATAATTGCTATATAACAACTCCACATCTGGATGCATATCCAACAGGTTAGAAAGCAAACAGCAACCAGATATTCACTTTTGTGTGGCTAAACAGAATGCACACACATACAATAGGATATTACTTAAAATGTAAACCAAAGGAAATTCTGACACATTCTGACACATGCTACAATATGGATGATCCTTGAAGGCACTGCACTAAGTGAATAACAGACACAGAGCAGATACTGAAGATCCCTGTCCTCTAGAGAATCTCGTGCTTAGCTCATCTCCCCACTCACAGCCTTGGCCCACCGGCTAGCCGTGCTCTGTCTGTCTGTCTGTCTATCTCTTTGCTCCCCTCTTCTCACCAGATAAATCGGAATCAAGTGCCTCGGATTTACTAATCCCAGGAGGAACTGCCCTAGATTTGCCTTCCCTGGGGTCCTCCCTGTCTTCAGATCAACAAAAGCGACTTCGTAGCGAAGTGAGCCTTTGTTCTGAAAAATGAGACTCTACATAAGAAAACAAAGGATGTAGATCAAGGTTGGTTCCTCCACCTGGCTAGCACAAGGTGAGAACAATCAACACGTAAATATCTGTCACTGGGCCAGCCCCCGCCTGATTGGGAAATGAAAGGTAAGAATCAGCTCATCACCCAAGAGCATTGCCAGCGTCTCAGGGGAACAAGAAGTGAATTATAAGGTGGGGTCTCTTTCCGGGGTGGCAGCTTCTCTTTCCGGGGTGGCAGGCCACCACCAGGCTCCTTGCAACACTCGCCTCCCCTTTCTGACAAGGTCTTATGTAGCCCAGGCTGAACTTGAACTCACTATGTAGCTGAGGATAACTTGAATTTCTGGTATTCAGGCTTCTACCTCCCAAGTTGCAGGGAGAAGGGACCACAGGCAGAGGCCATTACAGGTTCCACCCCACAGGATTCATTCCACACAGAGATCAAACCCGCGCTTGGCAAGCACTCTACCATTTGAGCTACATCCAAGCCCTCTTTAGAAGACTCTTTTTTAGAAGACTCTTTCCCACCTTCAACTACAGGGGTGAATGTAAAATTGGTTCCTTTGGGCTTAAAAGAACCTAATGAGTCCAGGTTACTATCAGAATCCAGAACTGGCTAGGTCCAGATGCACTAAAGGGCACATTATAGTTGAAACCCGCTTCCTCCGGAGGCCTTTTCCTGTGTGAGGGAGGGAGGGAGGAGGGTCTTCCAGTCTACACTGGGGCTTCCCGGACTGGTTCAGGGGTGGGATGGGTGTGGATTGTTGAACAGTTTTCGTATTCCATTTATTCCATCACTTACCTCCAGGAGAAGGTGTAGCCGGTAGGCTGGTCATCGCTGCTGCGGGCAGAGTATCTAGCAAGGTCAGTTCTGTGGGAAGAATGGAAAAGAACGCGGTAGATGGGGTCCTGAGGTTGCATGGCCTGGAGATCCCAGCAGAGCTTTCGGCACCAGGTTTTCCTAAATCCCTCCCCCCTGGACGAGTCTCCACTCTTCCTTTTGGTTCTCCCTGAGGATCTAATCAATTTTCATAAGCAAATCCCTCCGCAAGAGCAGATCCCCGCCAGGGTTTATCTGGGACGTGTCACGTTGGTGACTCTTTCCCCAGGTCGCCCCTTTTACCAGGCCTGGGAAAGTCAGGCAAGGGTTGGCAACTGAGTAGCCGACCGGGTTCCGCCCAACCGATCCGGGCACCACGTCCACCTGCATTACCTGGAACCCCGCGGAGCCGGACACTGAGTCCACCCGCTCTCCGGGGACCCCGCGCGTCCGGTGCCTGCGCCCTTGCGGCCGTCGAGGGTCCCCGCAGCCGCGCGCTCCCCGCCCCGGGTCCGGTTCCAGCCGCCGAGAGCGATCCCGTGCTTCCAGGCTTCCCCGCCGTACGCTCACCTTTCCAGTCCGACCAGCGACGGGGCAGGGCCGGGCGCCGCGCGTCCTTTTGAACTCGCCGTGGTG